GATCCAGGTTTTGAAGTCTTGGCAATGCCTGATGGGAAGACCAAAACAATGCATCAGACACACAACTCGTTTCATGGGTAGTCTTTTTATGAGTATGCAATGGAGGATTTTGAGACACTTGGTGGCGACAAACATGCCGGTCCTTTTTACCAGTTCTGAGCATGCGCGCGTTGTTTTGAACATGCGTGTATAGTTCTGAGCATGCACAATGCTGTGAAAAAGGACTGGTATGTCTGCTGCCACCAGCATCTCGAAGTCTCCCATTATCATTTCTTTTTTAACGTACAATAAACTGAGCGATTGTTTTATCCATGCATGCGGTCATTCATTCAGGTCATGTGACTATTAAAAAACTCAGAGTGAGTTAAAAGTCACCAGACCTACTTTGGAGTGCAGGCCCTTAGCCAGATCGTGAATAATCAAAATCAATACAAACTGCTATTTTTTTCACACACGTGATGTTGGCTTTTGAGGATGTAATACTGAGTTTTATAGCGTCCAATCAAAAGATATCACAGTATCATGTGACCTTTTGGTCTCCCTATGATTGGCCAACATTTTGGTTACCAGCAATACATCTTGGGATGTAAACAAGGCAGTGATAGGCTGATAGTCAGGGAAAATTACTGTTACTCCTTTACTGAATGACGTAATGGTCACCATCCGTACGGTTGGCGGCGTACCAATTCACAACTGGGCGTTGGTTTCCTATTTTTCTCATGCTTATCAAAGCTTCAAACACTTGTATAATACCCAAATGTAAGGTGCGGCTGTGCAGTCATTACCTATGACAATGACGGATGTAAGCCGGGTCACGTGAGCTAGTGAGACTGTCCTATGTCAGAATACAAGGTCAGAAAGCACAAGACACAAGATATGTAACAGAAACGAGGGTGGGCTAACCTAGCGTGGACTCGTGAACAAAATACGTCCACACGATGCAGGAAGGGAAAATGTACTTTGGACTGAACCATGTCCACAGGACATTTCCCCTTCTCTGAAAAGAGATTTAGAGGCATTTGGGGGTTAGGGTTACCTCTCATAAGAGGAAAGGAACAGTTAGGGAAACATTTTACAAAAATCCAGCTGAAAATCGTGATCACAGTTCAAGAAAAATGAGCACTAACCACCAAGTTTTCTTCACTGCATGAAAGCAGAGGAATGTCCAGATTAGGGAAGGAAGGTGAAGGTGTGAGCTTACCTGAGTGAATTGGGATGGGAGTTCCTCCAGCGCGTTATTGCTCAGGTCCAACTTCTCCAAGAAGGCAAACTGCCCCATTAGCCTGCCCTCTGATTGCGCCAGGCACTGCAGGTCCGTGATGCGATTGGCCGACAGGTCCAGGAGGTGCACGTGGATCTCCGATGCCTCGGGAACGTCCAGCATGGACTGGCCGAGGTGGAGCATGTGCCTTGAGCTCCGACGATTCTCTGGGGGTGGGGGGGGGGAGGTCAGAGGGGGAGGGGAAGATGGATTTACAGTGGAGAAATGCTGATGCAGAACTGAAAGTATGACAACACCATAATGGATCCCGCTTATTTCTTAATAAACACTTCCAACAAGACTTGGCGACCAAGAGTGGTTCTGCAAAGACAGTCTTGGACGCCACTGCACAAGTACATCCGGCCGGTGTCCTATGAAACTTGGTTTCCTCTTCCTCCCCTGTCCTTGTCAGCTGTCACTATTCTCTGCACCAAGTCGTTATGCAATACAGTGAATGTGTCTGTATTTCGTACAGTCTGGGCATCATACGACATAGGTATGCCCATGAAAACCCTCACGTTTGCCCACATTCAGATTATCCATTCTCTGTAGCAAACACGGACAAACAGTTGCAAGCACGCTGTTTATCAACCTGACAGGATTTCACTGCATGGCAGCGTAGCCATTTCTCACTTTTAAAGGGAATACATCCCGGTGCTTATGATCAGGGGTTCACAGAATAGAATCCTACCGTAGCCCGTAAATACTGTGTCCCTGGGCAAGCTCTAGTCACTTCAAGCTACTTGATCCTTTCTCCACTGGGCAGAATACGTGGACACTAGCATTTACCGGAGGGGGTAACACTGCCATTAACTAGCATCCAATTCAAGGGAATAGAAATATTTTCAGTCGTTTCATGTTTCTAAAACCGGCGATAAACGCCCAACTGATGGCCACATTGTCTCACACTAGACTTGATCTCACTTTCATTTTAACAAAAGGAGCCAACGCTTGATTCCGATCAAAACCGACGCAACATTCCCACCTTTTGTCATAAACTCAAAACAAAAATTAAAAATGACACTTGCTGTTGACATTTTGCTAAGTTTTGCAACTCCGGTTTCATTGGTTTTGGTCTGGGTTCTGACTACTCACTCCTCTGGACGGGCGTGCTATGCCACTGTGTGGTGGAGGGGGACACGGTGGGGACGACATCAGGCATGACCCCTGAGGGCTGGGACGATTCTGCATACTCCATGTCTGTCGTGCTGCTGTCGCTCACGCTGCCAAAGGAGAACACTTGGCTGACCTTGGACCCTGGGGAAAGAAAAAGGAGGGTGAGGGGAAGGGTTAGAAACTGCTGTTGGTCATGTCTTGGACACGGTGTGAGCTTGAGGGAAGAAGTGAAATCGCCAAACATTCGGCCCTGGTACTGTGACAGTGACAATATTGAAATCCTGTGCTTTTTAGGGTTTTAACTGGCTTTAAGGACTGAGCTCTCTCGTCAAACGATCTGATATCGAGAATCTTGCATTTGGGTAGTTTGTTAGCAGAAAGTGCAGAAAAGATAGCAAAATCTGAATGACTAAATCCAACAAAAATCTTAATCCAGAATTTGTGAGTTAAAAACCCCAAGCTTGTAAATATGACCTCAAAATCATTTATCCCGTTAGACATATTATTCTGAAGCGCTATGAGCTTCTGAGATTTCAGGACTCTCCCCAGTCTTGCTGGGTATGCGAAAAAAAAGAACAAACAAAAAAAAAAAAACTGGCTCCATGGAATATAAGCATTTTCCTCTCAAAGATGACCATCTTAAATACATGTATGGTCTACTTACAAAATGCGAAAAGTGCAACAAAGCTTATTACAACATTCAGGTGACATACCTTACAGTGGAACATCACAGGCTTTCCTAGAGACATTTGGTGCGGGGGTTCATATTGCATGTATTGGGCTGACTGTTGTGCCGCTTACGATCATCAGTATCAGATGACAGTGGAGTACATTATCAACCTTGGCAAGTTAAGCTTTTAATCTTGGTTTATATCTAGAGATACACATCTTTTATCAAACCAAGGCCAATGACAGTGTTTACCGTAGTCATGAAGTGCATTTACTGCTGAACAGAGTAATATCAGCTGCAGCCATGGTATCACCACCTAAGCATATTAAAATCATGACATGTTTTATAGCACTGTACTCACTGGCCTGAGACCTTTCCAAGGGAGACTGGTATCGATCCTCAGAGCTCTCCTGGCTCACAGACAGGGCACTTCTCATCTCAATTTCAGGCTATAAACGACCACAAAAAAACAAGAACATTACAAACTTTGACCACTTCATGCACAGGGCTTTGTGTTTATACGTGATGTGGCAATCTATATTCCTAGGGGTGGCTGACTGGTCAAGTGCTGACAGTTTTTCCCAAATCTCTAGGGGTGGCTGACTGGTCAAGTGCCGACAGTTTTTCCCAAGTCTCTAGGGGTGGCTGACTGGTCAAGTGCCGACAGTTTTCCCCAAGTCTCTAGGGGTGGCTGCCTGGTCAAGTGCCGACAGTTTTTCCCAAGTCTCTAGGGGTGGCTGACTGGTCAAGTGCCAACATTTTTCCCCAAGTCTCTAGGGGTGGCTGACTGATCAAGTGCCGACAGTTTTCCCTAAGTCTCTAGTGGCAGACGTGGACATGTCTCATTGCCTGTTTGTTTTGTACACACACAATCCGTCTGGTGGAATGCCGCATGAACAGGAACTTGGCTGCTTTAGTCTGTAATCTAATCTGCAGAATTTCTCAGTGCAATACTCCACATGTGACTTTGACTGACAAAATGATCTGGGAGTGTCGCCACAGCCATTTTTGAGTTAAAGGCCTTGTAAAGAATCTTGCACAACCAGTAAGAACCCGTAACATTTTTCACCCACATAATGTCCATTTTAATTGGGATACCAGACGGAGTGATACATCACCAGAAAGAGCCGAGTCGGCTCGTTCTGATCCACACCAGAGAAAATTACTGGAAAAATGGCATTAAGATTCATTTTGTAGGATTCATTCAAGCATGACAGATTTAAAAATGATTGAAGATGATTTTTTTTAATGTGAATATTGATGATTTTCGTCTATTTAGGTTGTTTCTTACAGGTAGTGACAAACAGGCCAAACTACTAGAAATATTAAAGATACCGGTAAGTGGGGCCAATTTTCTGTGGAGCACATCTTCACTTGCAATTTCAGAGATATAAACAGGAATAACACAGCTATCCCAAACTAATATCTTTTTTGCAATTTTATACTGCGAGCTGAAAGTTTTCTCCTCGTGGCTGGTGACTAGTGACTAGTTGGCATATGACAGGCTTACTTGGGATCTGGAGCGGATGTTTATGTAGGATTCGATACTCAGAAGGCTGGGTGACTGCGGACGGGAAGAACTTCCTCCAGAGAAGGATTCCCTGACAGAACTCTGCTCCCTTAGTCCTGAGAACAAATGGCATCAATAAGAAAATGGACCCAATCATAAAAAAGCAAAGTTATAAAAAAATGATATATTTGGAAACAGGAAGTCCAAGTTATTTATGTGCACAGGTCCACAGGCATTCAGGCTATTTGGAGGGAGATGTTTCCTGGAAAACACTTCTACTTGCAAGCATCTTGGCAGCAAAGGTTTCACGGATGTGGCTGGATGTTTGCAATCAAGGGAAAGGTGCCAATGTGAATTCCTTACTGAGAGGGGAACTGCATGTAGGAATTACAAAGGTAGGTTTGGGAGGCCTGGGAGAGAGTGGTTGGGGTTTGTGACTCACGGACGTAGGGGCTGGGGTTCGAATCTACCTGCTGGTTACAGGTTGTGACCTTAGGCAAGTCACTTTACACCTACTTGCCACTCTCCACCCAGGAGTATAGCTGGGTACCTGAGAGAGTTGAGATGGTTGGTGTACTTGGTAAGCCATTTGTGCCTAATATGGCAGCACAGAGCTCTAGACCATCCAGGGAGCTGAGATGTTTTTAGGAACGTTTGTGGCACAGTGTGCAAGGATAATAATAAACGCCTTGTTAATTTGACGCTACATACAGTCATTATTATTGATTATTAGAATTAATTCAGTGTCTTTTCAGTCAAACAACGGTGCAAGTGTTTGTGGTTAACTAGTGCAAATGGTGCAAATCAACATGCAGAGCTCTCCAAAAATCATGCTGACGGTGAAAGGCAAGTAAGTTATAGAACGAGGATACACAACGGTAAATCATGCGACAGATCAAGTTATCAAGGCCAACATGTTCTATCTTTCTCCCCTACCCAAAAGAAGCGAGGGGACTACTAGATCAAACTTACAGGCTACTTGTAACCCAGGCCGATGTATGTTTGCTATCACCAAACAGTCTCTTGTCAAGTGATACCAAAGGGCTTCTGGGAGTACTTAAACATAGGGCAAGTTTAGGCACAAACGATTCTTCTTGCCAATGTGCACATGTGATGCGGTCTTACCCATTACTTGTGACTGGACTTGCAGTGAATTCAGTTTCATATCTTGTTCCCACCACTCAAATTTCAGTGAACAATCACTCAACGGTGATCTTTGTAGTCGAGTCTATCACAAATCCTTTCACGAATCCTATCACACATCAAGTCCCAAGACCGGTCATAAGTAAGAGAGTGAACAATGACAAAGGAATGCTTTTGTCACAGTTCATTTGAGTAGCTTGAGACTGGATGACTCGCAGGGACTTGTGATGGACTCGGTGATACTGAAATTTCTTCTAAAATCTCCCCCCTCACAACCACAACACACACGGCAACAAAAGCAACAGGCTTGCAGTTATTGGCACACAAAACTACCACATGGAATCCCACACCACAGTCATGCCAGCGACTCCACCACAATGGAGGGGGCCGAAACACTCGTATCATACTACCTCGCTGGAGACTCTCAAGGCAGCGTGGGTCGTCCGGGTTTATCGGCAGGTTGGCAGAACTCAGCGACTTGCGCCAGGGCACAAAGCTACTGGAGACCTTGCGGATCATGTCCATCTCGCCAGCTGAACGCTGACGTCTCCGGTTCATGGCTTTTGTGAGGTTATCCACCTCCGTATCTTTGGAGGTTTTTTGGCAGGGGCGGGGAGAGAACAGGGGTGCAAAGAGTGTTAGAGCCGAGTGTTAGTCAAAGACAGAGGAAAGTGAGCTATTCCTATTCACAGCCTTTCTCTTCAGGTAAACTTCTCACACTAATATGACCAACTTGTATATGAACAACATTCCTCTAGTTTTGATTTGGGATAAATATCATTTCAATACTTAAACTTAATCTGAAAGGGTTTACAGAAGTCTACTTCTTGTAACAAAACCTTTTCTTTCTTCTTAGACCTTTTTGATAATTCCCATCACATCTCCACACATATCGATAGTGAAGGATAAACTGGTCCAGTCTGGTGTAAAAAGTGAGTGCAAATGGTTTAAAACTCTCCCATAAAAAAAGCTAAGAAAGTCTGCACACAAATCATGGAAATTGCTCATAAACTTAAAAAAATTCTTTTAGAGACCCAGAAGATATCGACTTACTGTAATTTATTATTAGTGGAAGAACAGGAAATCAAGGGTGCAAAATTCCAACATAAAGGAATTCAATATGGACGATTCACAATAGTGCACCACCAAGAGATTGCAACACGTTGGCCAGTCACAACGCATGAAATTTGTCGACCCTTTCTAAACGCGCATTGGGTCGACAAATTTTGCGCACTGTGACTGGCCAACGCATTGCAAACTCTTGGTGGTGCACTATTGTGAAACGGCCGTATTGGAAGGTGTATCTCAAAGAAAACGGATGCCGCTACTGATGCCAAGCTCCTTTTATTAATAAGGCAGAGTTTGATTAGTTAGCCTGATAGTTAATGCAACCATGCCAGAATAATTTCAACAAAGACATGCAAAGAACACAGTTTACATGTAAGATTAGACAGTACAGCGCATCTCTGGCAATAAGCACCTACATCAGTCAACCTCTGGTGGATTTTAGCATGGTCCCCAGGAAGCATTCTGTGCGTGGGTTACCAGGCAAGAATCCATGTAAGGCTGTCTTAACCACTTGCTGCCAGGGGAACCCGTTTCGAGCACCATGGGTTTATACGCAGAGCCAGGGTGCTTGAAATGGGACAAAAGAGCCGGTCCATGTAACAAATGACTCGGAACAAAAGACCTGTTGCTGGGAATTACCATTATTTTTCGGCTTGCATTTTTTGAAGGTAATCCGCCACTGTTTTGGGCATAGCGCGCCCACGGATTAGCATCGCGGACAAAAGTGCTCCAGGGCCCCATTGATGGGTGACATAGCACTGCTGTAAGCTAATCCAGTCGTGTTTGAAAAGATACCACTCGCACTCACTGGGGACAAAGGAAATTATGCAACACCTCACAATTCTGGGCTCTCTTTACAGGGCAGCAGGCCTGGCTGAAATACTCAGGAGTCAATGAAGGTTGCCTGTCAGCTTAGAGTAGCCACCAAACAATCATTCGTGTGGGTGTAAACGTCCATTAAATGAAATGATGAATTTTTGAAGAATTTCGAAAACTGAAATTCTTGAAAATCTCCCGTTTGTGTGCACTGCATTTTTAAAAGCACCCGGCAGCAAGTGGTTAATGGTCACTGATTGAATCCGGCCTTGGCCTTGCATTACCAGTGCTGGACTGATGTTTATCTCATGCAAGTGGAAATTTTAGCCACCCAAACTCTGCCTGTGTCCACGAGCAACACAAATTACATCAACAACTTCTCTCACGTATAAACGAGAGGACAGGTGGAATAAAAATTGGTTTCAGACTGCCTGAGCTTGTGAAACGGCACGATAGGCTCTTCAGAATTATGTTTCAGTGTTTATTGTGACAACAATTCAAACAAGTAGCCATGCAGTTTCCGGACATTTGACATTCAATTGAGGCTTTGCGTGGTAGCCATCTTGCAGAGCAGTTGTTTTGTTCCACAGGGAAACCTAATTTTGTGCATACCCTGAGAAACAAAAGCACTGACCTGCAAGATGGCAGCTGTGCAAACCCTCCATAAAGACCATTCCGTATGAAGCACACATGAAAGTGTACACTGCTCTTAAAAACGCAAGAGTAAATCAAGGTGCACAGCTTTCTTTTATGAGGTTTTAAGATGAGGCAAAGCTACCATTTCTTGAAGTTCAACACAGAGGAACTGGAAGGATTTTATTCAAATGAGGGAAGTGAGAAGGAGTATGTTCTTGTACCTTCACCTGGCCAAACAGGAAGGGAAGAACATGCAAGCCATTACTTCATTTGCACAGTGCATCCTTAATTAGCGATGGACAATTAAGTTCTCTTTGACTGCTCTGAAACAGTCTGAATTGGTGAGGAACCAGGATCAGAATTTTACCAGAAAAAGACGTGTGAGATAGAATAAAGAATTCAGTGACATGGTGCATTAAAGTTTTCCAAAAAGAGCACTTGAGTTATGGGGAGGAGACAAAAGGTCACAATAAAATCAACTTACTAGACAAATAAAACCATAAAAACCTTCACCAACAATATGCTCTTTTTTGGCTGCCAAAGCAACCCTGGCCACCTACCGGTGCCATGGAGACTCTTGGAACGTTCGTGATTGCGGGGGCGCTCCAAAATGGTCTGGCCCTGTTCCTGTTCTTCTCCTAGTGAGAAAGCGCTGGTGTCTAGCGTGTCAGGGAGGAATGCGGCGTTTTCCGTGCACGTGAAATCTGTGGCATTGGCCTCGCCAACTTGAAACACTACAGTTGATGATGTGTCGGTGGGGGAGGGGGTGGTTGGGGGTGGGGAGAGGGAAGGTGAGAGGGTGTGTGGAAGGAAATGGTAAATCACAAAACTCTCTACCCCTCTTTCTGTCAAAAGTAAGTCTGACTTTTCCATACAATCAATGTCCTTATCTTAGGTAATTTTTATTCACAATTTGTGTTGTTGAATCTTTCCCCAAACCCAACTCTATGCCCGGGTGCTGCATCACAAGGATAACTTTTGACCAATAGCGAAATGTGGGCCCCGTTGGGAGGACTTTCCAATGTCCTCACAAGTGTTTGGGTGCATGCACTAGTCAGTGTCTGAGTTCTACTACATTTTTCACATCAGTGCTAAACCTAAGCCCAATTTTGTAGATCTGCTAAGCATGTAAGTGTATTCCACAGAGTGAATTCTCGTATTCACTATAAAGCAAAATCAAACTAGCAGCCAACACGTTCATTTCTTGTGACTAGTTTTCAACTACTTTTCTACTTAGCACATAAATTTGCTTCAGCAATATTTTTTACAAGGCAACTCCGTAAAATTGAGCCTTGGTTTTCACACTGGATAAGTAAGCTGGATTTAATAGATTTGATAAGTGTTAGCATAATGAGAGAAGCCTATGAAAATTAATGCAGCTGCTCCAGAGAAAAACTAAGTACAATGTACGGTACACATATGTATCACAATATCAATTTAGGCAGACAAACTGATAAACCTGAATACAGTGTTCAATGCCAGAGAAACTCTATTTTCATGTTTTCAGAGAATCAGAATATTCAAATTTTTTTCATGGGGAAAATTGTTGGAGAGAAATGACAATCTTGGATGCACTCTGATATTTTCCTCCATTATGTCAATTGACATTTTCTATCAGTTAACTTCTCAAAGTAATTGCAAGGTGGAATGGGATGGAAGCACTGTGGGATGAATTGTAGACGTCACTCTGACTGATTGGAATCAAAATGCAAAGCATTACTTCCAGGCACATGCTTTTAATGCAGTAAAACAATGTTGCCTGTAAATTTCAAGTAAATACAAACTCAGTGCAGAGCATGGCTATCCCTCACACTCCATAACTAAATACACAAACTATACTGCTCAGGTTGTGTCTCAATCAACTGGCTATGGCTGTGGTTAGCACATGTCTATGAGAAGTGGCTCCAGCCACATGCCAAAAACTTCAATAAACACATGTGTCAATCCAAGCCGCAGCCACACTTTTTAGTCGCAGCCTATAGAAACTTCCAGTCTCACTTTGAAACTGAGAGACAAGAAGAGAATTAGACTGGTGTGTGTTCAGAAGACTGTTTGTCTGTGTCCACAGAAAACAGATCAAGATGGCCAACACTGGCATGATATTGGTTCCTGAAGGAAAAACACGATAATGCTCACTGCAGACCCTCAAAAGTATGATTACTAGGTGCAAAATAATGAAAATAGAGGAAATAACAGGAAATGAAAGGAGAAAAATATGAATTTCTATTGTATTGGGAAAAAAATGGCTGCCTACAATAGCAAGGATCAGAATTCCAAATACCTGACTGAGCACTGTCTTTCTCAGGGGAAATCGGTAACAGGGGGCTCCCTTTTGGGGGAGGGCTACCAGGGTACAGCTCCCGGTCAGCAGCGACGAGGATGTTGAGGGAGGAAGTGCGGACCACAGGTGCCAGATTGGAACTGAGGGAGCCGTCGACCTCGCTGAGAAGGTTGAAGACTGCTTGGCGGCGCTTGGCGCGATTCTCCTCCGTGTGGCGGATGCGGCTAGCAATCTGAACTGTTGAGGAGTTGCCTATTATAAATTGAGCATTATTGTTAGAATCATGGAAAAAGTTTGTATATTTATAATATAATAACCACTTCTAATGAAAAACCTGGACTAAGGGTAGCAAAGAGGATGATGCCAAGGTGTTTGTGAATTCAAGTTTTGCCAAAATGAACTGCAGACACTACAAAAACTTCATTTCAATGAAAGTCCAATAATGAAAAGCAAATGCAAATAAGGAGAAACAAACCAAAAGTCACTCCAAGATTTGCTTCACTATCTTGCTTCAATACTCGGAATTTCAACCACAAAATTTGAAGATTTCATAAGAAGCAAAAGGTAAACTTAGAAGCACATAAATGTAAGGGTTTGTCTACTGTAAAAACCTTTCTAAAACAGAAGAATACATGCATGTACAGAAAACAATTGTTATGGATATTAATTATTTCTTCGAATACCAAAATGCTGGAATAATATCAGAACATCCATTCTTGGGTTTGAAATTCAGAACCTTTTAAATAATGATTCGGAGAGGGACAAAGTATCCATGTTGGTCACTTTGTTTTCTGTTTCTTCTGGAAGGTTCAAGTCAATATCTGGTATTCATCACAAGCGATCTCATGCGTGACATTAGACTGAGGATGAAGCCAATAAGCCTCACCTCGAGTTGATGGGGAAGCCTGACCGATCTGGCCCAGGAACGTCGGGTAGAACCAGAGTGGTTGAAGGACAGTAAGACCTAGCCCGCTCCAAGTAGCAACTCCCCCTTTGAAGAAAAAAGGACAGACGTTTTTGTTGTATGGAAGTTTGCCAAGCCTAAATCCTCTGGACACTTTTCGATCTGTAACCTACTGAAAATGTTACTGTTCTGTTAAAACAGAGGAGAGATACAAACAGTATGGATCTCTCTCATTGGACGTTGTAGGAAAATTACAACCGCACATTCAATGCCATCAGGTGCCTGCACAGTGTGCAACATATTCTATACAAATGTGCCTGTTAATCAAAATATCCTCAAAATATGGCGCAGCCGATGCAGGTTTAATGCCCAAACTGCTGATGCATATGGCAATGTGTAGGAAATAACATCAGTTGAGAGACACCTATAGAAAGGGTTGACCTTTCTGCCAATTGTATGCAAAGTGAACTCCTCGTGTAACAACACTACATTCTGTTTGAGAGAAAAAAATGTTGCACTGCCTGAATTAATACATAAATCCAAAACAGAACTTTTCATGTCGTTCTTACAGTTGTAAAAAAAATTGAAGTCAAAGCCAAAAATCAGTTTCTAGTTATCTTCGTGTATGCCCATTCACCGACAGCTTTTGACAAATCTGCCATTGGCTTTGACATGGACAGCTTCGGCACTTGTCTTTGTGGGGTGGACTAAAGATACCACCCCAAGTGTCTTACGATGGCTGAGATCCATCTTTGGCCTTGATACCAGTCTGAAATTCTTCTTTGGAGTAGAGGCTTTTCAGCTTACCGTCCTTGTCGTGACCCATGTGCTGTAGTAGGAGTCCTGTGATGGTGTCATGATGCAGCTCAAGAGCCAAATGCAACGCCGTGTGAATGTCGCTCACGCCCTGAGAAAGCAGCCACTTGCAGTTAGTCAAAGACATCACTGGTCAATATTCTGAATGCATGGGGCCTTCAAATGACCAACACGAATGTCATTGGGGATTTGAATAAGTTAAGATCCAAAGTACAGCACAAGAGGGAACGGACTTGCCAGCCCTGAGTAATGATAACAAAGACCAGTAATACAAATGTATGTTCTGCATGTCAATTTCTCGGCAAAGCTAGACACAAGACACTGTTTGTCTTTTTGGTCTGTGCCCACCTGTTTCAGGAGGAGCTTAACCATGTCGGTGTTCCCCTTCTGTACGGCCAGGCACAATGGGGTCTCCCTACCCTTGCCGATGTTGACGTTAGCACTCAGCTGCAGTAGAACCTCCACTCCCTACGCAAAAAAAAAAATGACATTTCCACGGTCATTCCAAGTTTGCCTTCTGTGAGAGGAAGGAGCAATGCCAAATGCATTCCTCTACAGAAGGCGATGGCTTTTGTGCACATTTCAATGAAAACTGGAGATGCATTGCTCTGCAAACACACACAGTAATCAGTGCAAATGCATGTATTTATGTTTTACTACACCACCCAGTACAGGGCATTGTGTTTTCTATTGTTCATACAATATAACACTCTCCCACGGGACTGAGCACTTACCAACAAGGACAACAGACTGACCGAGGACAAAGAAACATCCTTTATTTGCCTTGTGTTCTGTCCTCTCAAGTTTAATGAAACAAGTACCCACACCACATGTCCTCTCACAATGGCCATTCTCAGTAGGCCAGCAGTACTATTTTATGCTCATGTATGGAACCCATAACTACTGGCTTCATTCCCCTCCCCCAACCATTTCACCGACCTTCAGTTTGTTCTGTCGACATGCCCACAGGAGCAAGTCCTTCTTGAAGTCCCATTTCCAGCACAGGACGTACAGGCACTCGCAAGCCAGGTCAATCAGAACTGTGAACCAAAGTCCACCATGCCACCGTTAGAGGACTTCCACAGTGGAAATTTCCAAAAGTAAACGCAATCTAAGAACACTGATCCTTGAAAAGTTGATCTTAAAAAAAAATAACTGCATGCACCAGCCCTTCACATCGTTGGTTCCGAAGAGCTCTGAGATTATCTGCACTCAACTTCAATGTTGTTTCTCGATTCTGATTAAGACAGCCATCTCCATTTCTAAACAACCTGCATCCTTCAACATTAATCAGGTCTTTCCTATAAGAATTTTGCAGGATTTAGGAGGTAGAGCCAAGCTACAATTTTGTTTCACATGCAGCTTGACGTCTCTTGAGAGTTTAAGTGTAAATCATGTGCCACGAGTTTGCTTTACAGTGGATGATTTTAAAGGATCCAGGAAGGTTTCTTGCAAAAGGGAAAAAGACCATTTCCCTGCCTATGTCACAAAGAAATAAAATGGCAAATGACCTTTATCTGAGCTATAGGTTTCAATGATGTAGAAAAGTTCTTCATGGGCATCATTCTCCACAAACACGTGACCAATCTGCTTGGAGGTTTCAGCTAGAAGCTGCATGGCAACACAGCTCTGATGGAGAAAATTAAACAAAAGATTTCTTTAAGGTGGGATTCAAACCATAAACATGCCAGTTACTGGTCCAACACCTTAACTGTGAGGAAAGCAAAAGGAGATACAATGCTTGCATGCCGAGAAAGCAAACTCATTCTTGCATTTGGAGCTTTTAAATTATTCAGATTAAAGTTTGTCAGGAAAACTTTTCTGGGACACGAAACCTACCTCAGCAAGAACATTGGGATCGTGCCGGAACTTCTTCATGGCAGTGACCAGTGCCTTGGCAACCTGCCTAGCGACCGGCACGTTGTCGATGGACTTCTGCTCGGCGACCAGGGCCTGAAGGAGAATGCTGCCTTTCTGCTGAATGCCTGGAGAGGACAATTTACCCAAACAGTTGTTTTCAGCATAGTCATTTTGGTCTGCCGAATGTTAGATTACAAAACTACGAGAACAAAATCACACTTACTTGTTCTACAATTGTGGGGGCATACATGTACGTGCACGCTGATCGTTACTGATTTTGAGGAGACCCAAAATGTTGTGAGGTCAGAGAAATGTCCTCACAACTCAATTCTGATTTGCCGGAAAATAGAAAATCTTGCCAATAATGCAGTGATGGCCTGCCCATCATTATTAACATTCAACCTGACTCACGGTGTGTTCTCACTCTACCCTATGCTTTCTATTGCTCAATCTACTAGACCAGACTATCAAGTACAGATTCACACAAGTTTACAAGAAAGGACCTTGAATATTTCACGACTACGGAGTGAGTTGGCAAAAGATGAATTTTGACATATCCCCAAATGTGGGAAAAACAATCAAAATCCTTTTATATGTAGGCGGATACCCCTCTTAACGTACCTGAAGTACCCAGAAAGATTATTCCTGTGCGTTTGAATACCCCAGTGCACTCTCTAAGACTGTATTAGTTATTTTAGCTGACTTGTCAACAGTAACTCTGGTTGAATGAAAGTTAAAGGAATCAAGCCACTAAACATGGGGGGCAGGACATATTAACTTAAATACCTTCAAAGTGTCCATATCTAGCCATAGTCTCTACAGTGTAGGCAAGAGCACCGGCTTCACACAACAGTTCTGCCATCCCATCTGCCAAGTCAAGAACAAATAAAACTAGAGGTATTCTTTACATCCAAGAACACGAAGAAATGATTCTCAAAACAGACCTAATAAGACACATGGTTGGCAAGCCACTGTCAAAAGTTTTCATTGGGTGTAAGTTGGACCTCTACGCAAACACTGTTCATGAAATATAAACCAACTTGTACGTTCATCGACTGAAGAAAGGTTGAGAAGGGAAACTGCAAACTCTTGCCAACAACGTAATCAAAACGTAGAGTCAGATATGTACATTTAATCTGGAAACACTTGTTGTCCCTAATTTCCTCTATCTCCCCCTGCTTACCAAAAATGAGTTGAGAATGTAAAATCAAATGAAATTTGGTTGGTAACCCGTTTCTGGTAAGCAAATATTGTACATGATAACTAAAACTTGGCTGTAATGACCTGCGGTGGAGAGGACGGCCATGGCTTCCAAGGCCAGCTCCTGTATACTTCTGTTATCGGGATGGCTGACCATACTCTGTAGGATCAGCTCGTGAATGCCTTCGACCATGCACTGGTAGCGGACGATATCTTGGCAAGGAACGAAGAAACAAACATGAAATCAGACACAAGGTACGTCAGTGATTACACAAATCAACTTGCAAATACAAGGCCTCTGTTCAGTAGGCGGAGCATCTTAAATTGGAATCGATAACAATTTATACTTTATCAAATGAAGATTATAACTTTCAAATCAATTAATTATGCAAACACACTCCATAAAGATGATAGACTGGACTTAGAATGAAGAGACATCGGAAATGATACTTCACTCGTGAAGTTTAGAATTATTTTCATGATATAGTGTAAAACAACAGCCCCTACAAGGCCTAAACTTTGCTCAGAACTTGCCAGAATTTGGTAAGATTGTTCAATTAGCAACATCTACATGTATGATGCTAAGCCATGGTACTAGTTGAAGCCAATTTCAAGTTTGGGCTTGGAAACATTGAATGAGGCAGACTTACCAACATCTGCAAGGCAAGCTATGGCACCAATGGCAGCCTCTAATACATCCAGCCTATCGGGGTACATCTTGAGGGCATTGAAGATCTCCACCTGGACTCCCACGAGAGCTAGGGCCTCCTTATCCTCAGGGCTGAGAAAAGAAGGCAAAATATGGGGTTTCTGATTAGAAATATTCCTTCATTGACCTTCATTTTGACCGGACTCAGACTTCAAATAAAAACTTCGTTTCAAATGGAACACGAACACAAAGACTGACTACAGGTGAGCAGAGGACAAAAATGTCACTCACTCCACGAAGTGACGAGTAGATAATATTTCCAGCACCACAAACTTGCCTATGGTGAATAGACTCCGTGCAAAAGATATGGGTCATTCCATGAAGTTTGGGCACAGTTTGTAACAGCGTCTCTTGTTACATTGGTAACTTTTATTGCCCTTTATCTTCACATTACAACAGATTAAGTCTTATTATTCAGCAAAGATGAAGCATACCACTACAAGAACCTAGCAAGATTTAGAACAATGTCAATTTAGAATCCACGTGCAGGGAAAAAAGATGTTTATTTTCACTGATGTAACATGGGGAGCCGTCACAAACTGTGCCCCAATTTCGTGGGATGACCCATATGTCAATACATGGTATACATGTAGCAACTATGCATGGTACATTAATATGCGGCGTGACTGACTAAACGACAATAGACTGATACAAACACAAATTTCCTCTTTGTTCTGAACAAATAATTTGCTGTACCTGAAGAGGCAGAGGCCCATGCAGGCCTTGCAGGCCACGGCCTGGGCTTTAACACTCTGCTTGTGGGTGTTCATTCCTGCTTGGATGTCCATATAGGTTCCTTTCTCCATGAAGCTCTCCCGCATACGCTCTGGGCACCAAGGAAAGTCCAGATAGAGGTGGATTCAAAAGGACGCCGGGGAAGGTGTTAGTGTGGGTTAGTGCCCATTTGTAGAGTGAGTGATGAGGGATGTGGAACACACTGGTTTTCTATGGGACTGTTTACACTGACTGATTGACCTGCATGCTTTTAGCAGGGCCCCGAGCTGGACCTGGAGAGGGCGTTATTTTCTTAGCAACTGAGGCTCCTTTGGTCAGAACTGAACTCTGCTGGTTCGCGAACGACCAGGAAATACATGCATCATGGTCACATCGCTACCAGCAAACTGAACACTCCTGACCAAAGTGGCTCTTGGCAACTGATGAGGGGGTGATTCTGCTGAAGGCGGATTAGGTAGAGACAGCAACTGACACACTGTCTACTTTTCAACAGCATTTTGTTTAGTACCATACACTAATCTTAGAAGACATCACTTCTTTTGTGGCAGGGTGCCAACACACTCCCGCATGCATTCTTAAAGGGTCCGTGTGGGGAACATTACTTAGACACACTTTTTGCAATGCAAAGAAACCAAGTGACATCCCTTTTGGGTTGAGTGTATCCACCAGTGCACTTTTAAAAAAAGTGTTAAAAAACTGTCCATGCAATTTGACACAACTGAGGGCGCTATTGATGTGATGTCATTCAGAGTACACACTGCTCAGTTAAGTCAGAATTTTAGGCCAGTTCGAAGGGTGATACTACAGCAATAAACACAAACAGGTGGAGCCTTCTTTTTGACTGTCATGTCAGAAAGAAGCAAAATGCCAGTCTTGTTACACCTTTTTCCTTACCAGAGGTGATGACCAAGGAGTAGACGGAAGCACAGGACGCTATGAAGATGCCTACCTCCCGTTGGCCATGCACTCTGAGACTGGCCAACACTGCGTTCTCGATGCTGATGCTGGAAAATAGATGGAGCATCCATGAATCTTTGAATCTGACTGTGGCAACACAACAGGGCTTTTTAGTTTTGGAGAAATCCCCTGCATTTGACAGTTTACACCCTAAAAGAGAAAGGGTGCCTGGAAGTTTTTTGACCAGGCTCATATAAATGCCCAGAATCTGGGTGTGAATGCCTGGACCCAGCACGCATGAACCAAGGCATGCATGCCGTAGGTTCCCACCAGAAGGATGTCAATTGCTTGTGAAAACACGTCATCTCTTACTCCTGAATGGAAAGAAGGAAAATGGGTTTGGATTTGGCTCAGATTTCTTCAGTATCTCATTAAAATGGCTCAGTGACTCGACATGGCAAGATTTCTCTCACCAACCCATGGCCTCCCTTGGGGCATGTGCACATGCACGGCTGCACCCGACAAGGAGAACACTCCAGTATTAGTTTGCACATCCGCTGCATGAGAGTTGCCAGTGGAGGGAGGAGTACCGGTATTGTCAAGAGAATGCTAAAATATTCTACCTTTCTATTCCTTTCAGCACTTGTGGTCTCTTCTCAATCAGCTTACTCAATGCGCTACATCCCGCCTCCTGTTTAAGAAGCAATAAGTATTGGTTAGTTGTGATTCTGAAGCTGGAAATCAGACCCTTAAGCATCAGTGATTTCACGCTCTGAACGGTGGCATATCAGTATCGTTTTCAGCAAATGTAAAAATCAACAATCTTGAGGGCAAAAGGGCTTCTCAAAATGTTTCCACTAGCGTCCTCTACTCGTTGTCAGGAGATGCATGATGGCAAGGAGGAAACTGATCCTGACAACAGGAAGCCTGGCTTGTGTGCAAAAATTGAATGCTATGGACAGAACCGTGTCTCTTCACATCACAGTCTAAGGTTTTACCTACATGTACCAGCGGCTGGCTAACTAGACTGGCCGTCAGTGCAAAAACACGATTCATGCAGTGTTTTTTAAAAGTTCTCATGCAGCTTCCAAAACACAAAATAACACACACTACCACTAAATACTAAATACAAACATGTTGGCCCAGGCTAACGTGGTAAATAAATCCTAAAAATGGCATTTGGGGATATTAACTCACCTGGCAGTCTACGTTATCCAGATGGAGGGTGAGTCCCATGAACACATCTGGAAGCCAATTGTCCTCTGCTGGGGCCTCTATGGCACTGGTACTAGAAGGCCTGAAAATAACGTCGGCTGGGAGAGACAGGAGGAACCAAATTTAAACCGAGGTTGGGATAATGGGGCAACTACAGAGCAGGTGACAACTGGAGGAGTAAGGAGACAGCATTCAGGAAGGTATTACCCGTTCCGTCTGGTTGTGAGCCAGGCTTATGAAAAGACAGTTTGCACATGAATGAAACAAAATGCAAAAAAAGCTGAAATGAGAACCATGCTGAATGCAACGAAATGCAACATAGTCAATGTGGGAACCCTGCTTAATGCAACGAAA